GTTCCTGGACTTTAATTTCTTCCCAAATCAAGCTTTGTATCACAGAGCTCTTAGAACCAGGTAATTCATACCTGCCATGATGTGATCCAGAACCAGAAGCTCAAGCCCAACAAAGGACTCCAGAACTCTGGCATCCTGACTGGTCCCTGCTTCTATTTAAAAAAAGCTTCAGAATAGGAAGTTGTCCATTCAACAGCGTTTCTCCCATTTAGCACTTCTTCCTTTGTATTGCCTGACTGGTCTCCTAGTCATCTGAGACTGCCTACCTCCTGACATCGTACTCACAGTTTGCTCTCTGGCATATCTCAGACTCTAATCTCTTGGTATCTGACCCAACCTGTGTCCTGACCACTAGGTCAGACTGTTAAGTCCTGTTTGTAACATAGGATTACTGATGTTTCTTCTCACCAATGTTTTGCACAGATTTCCTCAAGATAGTGAAGAGGAAGGAAGACATTGAGTAGGTGGCCCTATTTCACCTTTGAATTCCTTTAGCTGAAGCAATTTTGCCTTTTTGAGTTCTGTCTAGTTTAGGGATGTCATGTTCCAGCTGATAGTTCTGTCCACTACAAGGTTAAAAGATCTCCTTAGAGAAACTGTATTCCTCCTGGTATATTGATGATGTATGCTTTGTCCATGCTAGCATCAGAGAACCCTCATATGTGCATTTCCATAACAGGAAGAATATCATACCAAGCCCATTGGGGGAAAACCACTTCTTTGAACTTTGAACATCTGTTCAGGTAAACTATTATATTTGATGTGACTAGTATTAATGGCCTGGAAATAAAGGTTGATATTTCACCAGGGCTAATCTGATTGTTCTCAACTTAAGCAGATTTATTATGCTCTGAGTTTCTTCTTGGCTTGACCACTGGATGGGGTGCAGTCTCTTCTCACTCAAATTGATCAGACTCATGGTTTTGGAACTTCATAATGACCATCTTGGCAGCTTCCTGGACTCAAACTCAAGATGTCCAAATATGAGAAAGGAGATTCAGTGAGCACCAGGATTTCCATAAACATTTAGAAAGCAGGTTAGAGATCAATTGGAACAATTTTGTCCTAGTACTATTCATTTTGGTAACACAAATTAAATTAACACCCAAAACAATGGAGGCAGCAATAAAAAGGGATGTGGAGAATAAAAACATTCACAAGTTCTATCAGTTTAAGGCAGTGCCAGGTGGAAAGAGATGCTAATGTGGATTCCAGAATTTCCTGGTGCTCTTGCTTAATGATTTGAATGGTTTGTGCAGATCAAACTCCTTAGTTATTATTGTGCCACGAGTACACACTCATATGAATCTCCATGAAAGTTTCTGATTCCTATCTGCTGGACAACATGATCAATTTGATGTTCTTATGAGGGGCTGATGGAGTTTCCTGTTATTTTATTATTTTAACAGTTATTATTATTGTATTATAATACTAGCTTTTTCAAGCCCTAGATAATATTAGGGCACCACTGTGTTAGGTGTTATATATACACATACTAAAAAATAAAAAATTCCTGATGTGAAGAGCTTTTAATCTAAATAGACAAGACAAAGGGCAGGAGAAAAGAAAGTATGAAGGGCAAGAGAAAAGGAAGTATGATCATTCCCATTTTACAAATGGGGAACTAAGACACAGAAAGGTTAAATGTTGTGCCCAAGGGTCATATAGAAAGCCTGTGAGACTGCAGGATTGAACTCGGACCTCCTGATTTATAGTCAAGGGACCTTAACTGTAAGATCAAACTTTCTTATATTTGATTTGGATGAACTGTAACTATGGAGTGACTTCAACAGAGTAACTCCTGTGCCCATCTGTCCCTGATATGGTTAGCCAGATTGGGAGAAAACAGAGACGTATCCCTCTCTGTTCTCTGGCCCAGGAAGCTATAGTCTGAGTCTGGAGAATCTTTCAAAGTTTTGGTTGGGATCTGAGGTATAATCCTGGTGAGAGCTCACTCCTCCAGTGGATCTGCATTACTCCATCCTTATATTAGCAGACTTCTGCTTTAAACTGCTTTTCTCAGAGTTCCAGAAAACCCAAAACCCACAATCAACTATATCCTGGTCCAATGCTATTATTTTATGTTGTTCCAGCACAGCAGGTTTGGGTACTCAACACTTACAAAATAATGCCATTTACTGAAGTAGTTGAACACAGACTTGCTGGTAGAAGCCTAAGTTCAGGCACAATTAAAAAAAATATCTTAGTTTTAATAACATTTTAGGACATATCTATTAAGCCTTATCCTGATTGCTCAGAAACTTCTACTTATTGAGGTTAATGTCTTACTATCTCATCAGAAGGAATCACCAACTTCTTCTGGAGGTCTCTGGGGAGGAAATTTCTCAATGGTTTGGCTGACTAAGCCTGGAGGTCGACAACAAGCTATTTTAACAGACTAGTGGCCTCAAATTCTTCTTTAAAAAAAAGATGAGTGTCCTAGCCAGATTTAATGGATTCTGGTTTAGAAAATTCACTCCATGGGACAAATTTTAGGGGCAAAAAAGGGAAGTTTATATTAAAGTATGTTTATCCCTCCCTGTGTCTTTGATCTTAAGTATTATCCAGCTAAGAGGAAGAAAACAAAGATTCAAAGGTCCAGACTGGGGAAATTTTTCTTTTGGAATTTTTTTTTAATGGAGTGTAAACCCCTGCACCTAAGCATGAAGGCCAGGAGAATGAATGGAGCAAAAGGAGCCAGTTAGGACAAATTTAGAACCAAAAGCTTCTAATGGGATGAAGGAGGGCCCTAGAGCATGATGCCAAGACATCAGAGCTGCAGAAAGGTAGTGGTAGAGAGGGAAAAATTGACCACAGTAGCATGATCTTTAAAACTACCTGCCTGCCTGTCTGAGGAATTAGAGTCAGGAGCTGAGCTTGTGGCATACTTGTCTTCCATGGTTGATAGCTCTTTGCTGTCTTCGTCTCTGTTCACAAATAGCAGCAAGCTCCAATTATGAAATATTGCAATAAATGTTCTCGTCATGGAAAAGAATTAATAAATGTGCCCATGTAATACATAATTGGCCAAGTTCTAAAGTCCTTAAACAGTTTATACTCCTTTTTACTGAGGAAAAAACTACCTTTGAGTCAAGAGTAGCTTTGCTTGAATGAGAACTTCAAAATACGGCATATTGTTTATACCATAACATTCTTCTCAATACACTGGGGGCTGAACCCCCAGCTCACTACGCTCAGCAACCCTCCTCTCTCTGGGGGTAGGCAGCCCTGGCACTCCCTCTGGCCGCTGGGGAGTACTAGGCTGAGGCATGGCAACCCTGGCCTGCCCCTCCCACCAAGCCCAGTAGCCCAGATCTCCCCCATCCGCCAACAGCCCAGGAGGACTGAGGCCGTGCCAGCACTGTCTCTATCCTCTCTCTACCCACTTCCCCCGGCCTCGCCAGTCCCAGCTCCCCCCACCCCTAATTGTCAGGCAGGGCTGAGGCTGAACTAACTCCAGCTCTACCCCACTGCCTCCAGCTGCTGGGCGGGGCTGAGGACGTGCCAGCCCCAGCTCCATCCTTTCTCCCTCCCCCCCCCAGCCACTCCAGCCCCGGCTCTCCCACACCCCCAACAGCTGAGGAGGGCCAAAACTGTGCCAGCCCTGGCTCTTTTCCTCTAGCTGTTGGAGGGAGGTGGAGGGGGGGGGCAGCCTGAGGCCTCGCTATCCCCAGCTCTCTCTCCTGGGACACTGGGGGCAAGCAGGACTAAGGCCTCACCAGGCCCCATGCTCTCCCCCGTATGCCGGGGTGGCAGGGGAGCAGGCCATGGTCTCTCCAGGCTCCGTGCTCTCCCCCCAGCCTCGGTGGGGAGGAAGGACGAGGCCACAGTGCAGTAGCCCTTGTTCCCAAGCACTGGGGAAAGGGCGGAGGGCGGAGCCAGACAGGACACAGAGTGACATGATGATGTCACTTTACAGGCAGTCCCCGGGTTACGTACAAGATAGGGACTGTAGGTTTGTTCTTAAGTTGAATCTGTATGTAAGTCGGAACTGGCGTCCAGATTCAGCCGCTGCTGAAACTGACCAGCAGCGGCTGAATCAGGACCTGGGGCAGAGCAGCTGGGGTGCTGCTGGGTTGGTCCAGTAGCGCCGAGGAGCGGCGCTACTGGTACACCCCAGCAGCCACCCCATCTGCTCTGCCTCAGGCGTCCCCAAGTCAGCCGCTGCTGAAACTGACCAGCAGCGGCTGAATCAGGACCTGGGGCAGAGCAGCTGGGGTGCTGCTGGGTTGGTCCAGTAGCGCCGAGGAGCGGCGCTACTGGTACACCCCAGCAGCCACCCCATCTGCTCTGCCTCAGGCGTCCCCAAGTCAGCCGCTGCTGAAACTGACCAGCAGCGGCTGAATCAGGACCTGGGGCAGAGCAGCTGGGGTGCTGCTGGGTTGGTCCAGTAGCGCCGAGGAGCGGCGCTACTGGTACACCCCAGCAGCCACCCCATCTGCTCTGCCTCAGGCGTCCCCAAGTCAGCCGCTGCTGAAACTGACCAGCAGCGGCTGAATCAGGACCTGGGGCAGAGCAGCTGGGGTGCTGCCGGGTTGGTCCAGTAGTGCCCAGAGCGGCGCTGCGGGACCAACCGGCAGCGCCTCAGCTGCTCTGCCCCAGGGTCCACAACAAAAGCCTGGTCTGCTGGAGACAGTCCCCAGAAGACCAGGGGCACCGAGAGCAGCTTTTCTCGCCCCGGAGGTCGAGGTGGCGGGACCGCTGCCTGCGAGCTCCAGGGCGAGAAAGCCCCGTTTGTAAGTGCGGATCTGACATAAGTCGGATCCGCGTAAGTCGGGGACTGCCTGTATAACATTTTTTTCCTGTGGGATGACAGAGAGAGAGAAAAGGAGGAAGGAAATTACAATATTTTCCAAACGTTTTTCAAGGCAATATTTTAGTATAACCTCAGTATCTTACAATGAAAATTAAGAAGTGAATGAGTGAAAAGGAAAAATTGCTATGGTTAGAAAGAGCTATCAAATGTTAAAATATTTTACATCATGATTTACTGTACTCACTTTTCCCTCATCTCTTGGGCTATCACTTAGATGTACAACTGGACCAGGGTGAGTCTTTGTGGATCTGCAAAACAAAATCAATTCAAAACATGAACTCTTTCACTAAAAAAGGAGAATATTTATGTTAGATGTTAGGTGTGGTTGAGACAAGGCAATCCAAATCTGTTTGGAAAATCCCCCTGGAGAAGGATATTTGCACACAACAACAAAAGACCTTACCCATTATGTAGAATCATATATTGTACTGTAAATTCCAGTTATCTTTTCTAAATAACACATGGTAAGTTTGAAGTCCAAGAATGATTTAGGTAAATGTATGTAACATCATTTAAAACAGGGGAGTAGAACCTTTTTTAGGTCAGGGGGCACTGACCCACAGAAAAAAAAATCAGTCCAGGGGCTTTTTTTGAGAAGCAAAATAAAAAAAAAATCATTGATGTGGCCCCCAACTGAGAAGGAAAAAGACACTCCCCATATTCCCCTTGCACATCAGAGCCTGGGGGCCACAGCCTAGTACATTTTGTGTGCTCCAGCCTCACAGTGGAGTTCCAGGGGGAGGGGCCAGGATTGCCAGATGGTTTAACCAAAAATACCGAACACTCCCCTCTTCCCCCCAAAAAAACCAAACACTGGGGAAAAAAAGAGGGAGACCAAAGCTGTTGAGGGGGGGGGAAAAAAAAGAGACAAAAAAGGACCCTGAGAGTTATTAAGCAATAAATAAATAAATAAACAAACAAACAAACCAACCAACCAGCATGGCCCCTTTAATAAATGTTTTTGAGGCTTTTTGGCCCTAACAAGCTGCCAGAGGCTGTCTGACATCTTGTCTTCTGGCTCTGGGCCAGCCAGCTCCCCCGAGAAACCAGGAAAGCACCCAGGATTTTCGCCTCCCGGCTGGGAAAGAAATCAGAAGGTACCAGACATTTTAGATGTCCGGTATTTTCTTAATTTTTTTTACTGGACAGGAGACAAAAATACCGGACTGTCCGGGTTAATATCGGACACCTGGCAACCCTAGGGAGTGCCAGAAGAGGCTCCTGAATGTTGGGGGAGGCCCTGAGCCTCAGGGGCTAGATCTAAGCAAATCGGGGTCTTCATCTGGCCCCCAGACCGTACGTTTCCCACCCCCGATTTAAAAACTATTTTTGCATAATAAAGCATACATTCTTCATACATATAAATGGATCTAAATTGTTACATGAAAGAAACTTTTATACTATATTATGTCTACTCTGTGAGTGAACACCCTTATTCAGAATTAAAGTGCCCTTAGTTTGTTTTGTTTTAATTCACTTCCAAAGTGATTTTAATTTAAATTGAATTAAGGTCACTTTAATTCTGAACAATAGCATCTACACAAGGGTTTACTGTAGTTTAACTAATCCACTGCAAAAATCACACTTTTAGTTAATTCAGATTAATTTTACTGGATGCCCCTGAGTAGACAAGGTATTAGCCTTTCTCTGTTATCACTATCCATTTTATTTGTCAGACCTCATTCATTTTGTTCCATTTTGTTTATTATTTTAGGCTGGAAAAGCCAAACCTTATTTACCCATATAACTGATTTGATTTTTAAAGATACCGAGAGCTCAAAACCTCACACTGAAGTCACTGAGGCCTTGTCTTCACTCCACAGAAGATAGATGTTGCTGTGATCAATCTTCTGGAGATTGATTTAGCAAGTCTTAACGAGAGTCTTAACTAAACTCACTGAAGTGAACTCAAAGGGTGCCCTTCCTGGCAACTGGTACTCCTGCTCTTGCAATAAGTAAAGAAAGCCAAGCAGACAGGAGTATTTGCTCCCATCAGCTTCCTGCTGTGGGGATGGCACAAAGCTTGGCTTAAGGTAAGCTGACTCCAACTATGTATTTTACATTGCAGGAGTTGCATACCTTAAGACAAGCCTCCGGGTCTATTGTAAACCTGGCCTGAGACTTACTGGATACTTAGCACTTTTGAAATTGAGGTCAAACTTTTGTGAGCCAGAGTAAGGAACTAAAAGCCTAACTAGGGGTATGTCTACACTACCCCGCTAGTTCGAACTAGCGGGGTAGTGTAGACATACCCTAAGTACTTACCAAGCCATTTTTCCATAACAAGCAACTCTTCCCCATATAGCAGCAATCTCTTCTTCGGTTAATATAGTATGAATATCAGTTTGCAGATCTTTTATTTCAGGTAATAATGCATTGGTATCTGCTTGCGTTGGCTGTAGAGAGGACTGTATCTATTTTCTCTTTGCCTACTTTGGTTGTCATATTGCTATCTTTGTAATGCAATGAGAAAGGCTCTTCTTCAAAATCCAATTATCTATTTTGCTTTCAGAAATTATTTTAAGGACTTGGGGCTTTTTTTTCAGGATTGCTATCAGATATTTTTTCCTGTATAGAGATGGTTTTCAGAAACAATGGTAACATGTTCTTTTTGCCTTGTCCTCAGGTGCATAGGGTCTTCATTCTTCTCTAATTTATATAATTGTATGTCAAAAGTATCTCAACTGAGGTCATCAGTTACATCTCACCACAATGGAGGCCATCTTGTAAATTGTTACAATGATCTCTGAGAGTTAAGCAACACAATCTGTATAAGCAAAGGTTTGTAAGCAAAGTTACTAGATGTAATTATTTAGACTATTTTTAGGAAGATTTTTCTAAAAATTATCAAGACACTCTATACCCTAAATAGAGCCTGTACATTGCCTAAACTTTTGAAGTAAAAGTTCCTTCTGCATCTATGTGTCTATCTCTGGGCATATGTACTGCTACCTTGCTCTAGGCACTCAGATGACCAAACCCCCAGGTTATCCACCAATTGTGTAAAGATAGGTGCGCCTCTGCCTATCTCACCTATGAGGCCCAAGCTGGCAGACGTGCACAGAAGCCATCTAGTTCCATACAAAACAGTCAAGAGGAGTGCCTCTCTCAAAATCTGTAGCATAGAGGATAACATACTCACATGGGATGCAGGAGACTCCCTGACTGAAGTCCTCCCTCTGCTTGATAAGGTGAGTGCCTTAGCTACTGTGCTATGGGATATTCTAATGCCCTCAATGTCTCCAATGGAAGCTATAGCATGATTTTCTATTAAGGAGTCATTGGATTAGGGAAACTGGATCTTTGGTCTGCCACTTCTTAGATGAGGGATCTAATCTCCAGGGTATAGTGTCATTTTCACTCTCTCTCTCTGGCCCAATTCATATTTAACATATCATAAATGCAAAAATTATTGTAGCCCAGTCTGCGTTCTACAGGATGGGAGGCAAATTTCTGCCAGGTATAAATGGATGTGGATAGTTTGGGCATCCACTAGCTATGAAAGTTAAAAAGACTCCAAATTAGCAGAGTGGTTTATCTGTAGGCAGATGAACTCATGATCCATAGCAATGTTTTAATATTAATATTAAGAGTCCAGTTTGTTTTGTTGAAGTTGTTGTTAACTCTGCCAGATCTGAAATACGTGCACATCTCATAGTCAATGCATAAGAGTAAGCTGAGAAGCTGACCCAGCTGTTGCTATCTGGAATGCAATCATCTCGCTCAGTTATAGTAAAGTAATGGACTTAATCTCCCTGGATTTCAGTAGGGCATCTGATACTCTTTCACATGAGAAATTATTACTTAAACTATAGAAGACGGGGATTAATATGAGAATTGAAAAGTGGGTAAGGAACTGGTTAAAGAGAAGATTACTGTGAGTCTTACTGACACATGAACTATAAGGGTACAGGGGTAGGGATGCTAGTGGAGTTCCTCAGGAATTGGTCTTGGAATGACCTAGGCACAAAAGGAGGAAGTGTGCTAAAAAAATTAATACATAACACAAAGTTAGGAGGTATTGCCAGTACAGAGGAGGACTGAAATATCATACAAGAAGATCTGGATGACTGTGAAACTGGAGTAATAGAAATGGAGGGAAATTTAACAGTATACATTTCAAGGTCATGCACTTAGGAACTAACAAGAATTTTTGCAATGGGCTGGGGATTTCTCATTGGAAGTGACTGAGGAGAAAAACAGACCTGTCCATATTGACTGATCACAAGATGATTACATGATGGCACCATAACAAAAGCTAATACAGTTTTAGGATGCATCAGGTGAGGTGTTTCCAGTAGAGACAAGTAAGAATTAGCACCGTTATACAAAGCTCTGGTGAGACCTCATCTGCAATTCCATGTACAGTTCTGGTTTCTTTTGTTTAAGAAAGATAAATTCAAACTGGAAGATGTGCAGAGAAGGGCTACTAGCATGAGCCAAGGAGACTTAAAGAGCTTGCCTTGTTTGGACTAACCAAATGAAAGCTCAGGGACTTATGATTACTCTTGCAGGATTAAACTAGAGTAAATGTTGGATTCTCTGTAACTTGGTCTTTAAATCATGATTTGAGGATGACAGTAACTTAGCCACAGGTTATAGTTCTATTACAGGAGTGGGAGGGTGAGGTTAGATTTGCTGGGACCAAGGCCTAAAGCTGAAGCCAGAGCTGCATCTTCACCTGGAGTGGCAGAGCTTGGACTCTGGCCCCATCTTCCCCAACCAAGACAGTGGGGCTTGACGGAGATAAGGATAGAATGCTGACTCTGGCAGAGACCTTGAGATAAGGAGCATCTGGGTGGAACTAAATAACTGTTAGCTATTGGTGTTTGTAATGGGAAGGAGACTAACTGTTATTGTTATTATATCTAAAAGACAGTATATAAACTGCTTCATAATTGCTTGTATTCGAAGATCTGCCTCGGGGAGGGGGCTTCCCCCCTGTCCGAACCAGTTTTTCCCTTGCTGCAGCTCGTAATAAAACTGCCTCTGGCTACTTGTTGCTTACAAACTCAGAGTGAGGACAATGTTTTCTTCCACCGGTTCAAGCCCTCCTTCCTTTCACCAGAGGCAATGGAGTTTGGGCTCTATCTCCCACCCCAGGGTCATGCAGTAACTTTGTTGTCAGAAGGGGGTCATGATGCAATAAAGTTTGAGAACGCCTAAACTAGATGATGATCCCTTCTGCCTTAAAGTCAAGTAAAAGTTCAGCTCCATCTCATAAGCTCTCGCCTTGAAATGTTGGCTT